AGGAGGAGGCACCATTGATGGGTGACGGCGGATGGGAGTACGCCCCGCTCTTCAACCTGCGGTTCCACGCCCACGAGCGCAAGATGGACCTGGTGAGGCGCCGGCGGTGGCACCGGAAGATGGTCCCGGACGCCGAGGCCCTCGTGCCTGGGCAGCTGCAGTTCGCGCTCTCGGGTCAGACCCTTCATATTTAATTTTAAAGCGCAAAAAAATATTGGAGATGTTAATTAATTGCTTATTAATTGGAACAGAGGAAGGAGGCGAAGCGAAGGAAGGAGTCGGCATGGCCAGTCCCCGCATGTACCTCCAGTACAAGCAGCAGCACAAGTACCAACTGAGAGCCTACGTCTACCAGGCGCGCCACCTCCTTGCAGGCGACAAGACCGGCTTCTCCGGTGAGCTTGCGAGTCTTCCTCTCTCCCGCGCGAAGACTTGCCATCCTAGTCTTCTCCTTTTCCCGCACGAAAACTTGCCCTTCAAGTCTTCCCTCTCCCGCTTGAAGACTTGCCTCTCTCTCCCCCACAGATCCCTACGCCGCCGTGTCCTTCCTGACCCAGAGCCGCCAGACCGAGTCGATATCCGAGACCCTGAGCCCCACCTGGGACCAGACTCTGATCCTCGACGACGTCCTCATCGTCGGGCCGCCCGAGGCCCTCGCCGCCAACCCGCCCTTCGTCATCGTGGAGCTCTTCGATCACGATGCTTACGTGAGCCACGCATTCATTCCGCTGTTGATTATCTGTTAATTATCGATTATCGTCAGGCGCAGCTGCATTCGCCTCTCAAAGTCGGAAATCCTTTTTAATTTGGTAATTATTTATAATTATAATATGTCTCGCTGAAATGCGTTTCTAAGCTCTTTCCTTTCCAGCTGAAAAAAAAAAATTTGCTGAGATCTGGGTAAATATTTTAGTTTCGTAAGAGATTGGAGAAACACAGGAAATTGTTGTCTTTGACATTGTATATTTTTAAAGGCGAATGCTGCGAAACTTTCGCTGGTCCATTGGGCAAAATGAAAATAAGCAGGCGAAGATTTGCGTCGCTCGCATCTCCGTTTCGGGCGATTCCTTGTCCGTCACGAAGGCTGTGAGAGGAACGATTGGCAACTAATGTGTCGCTCCGTCTTTTGGCAACCTGGCAACTAATGTGTCGCTCCCTCTTTTGGCAACCTTAAATGCCAGGCCATCGAGGCAATCATGCGACAGAATTGAGTTCACTTTTGTTGTTTACGAGTAATGAGCGAAGTGAAAGCGTCGGTGACGGTTTTCCACGCTGCTCCGTCCCGGAGCACAAACCGAGAAACACGGTTTTCCACGTCCGACCGCAGGGCAGCCCGGAGTTCCTGGGCCGCGCGATGGTGCGCCCGAGGGTGCAGCTCCGGCCGAACCAGGCCGTGTCGCCGCGCCTGGAGTGGCACGGGATCCAGAAGGGAGCGCGGGACGGCGGGGAGCTCCTGGCCTCCTTCGAGCTCTTCCTCAAGGACGGGGCGTCGGAGCTGCCGTTCCTGCCGCCGAAGAAGGGAGAGCTCTTCATCGTGCCCAGCGGGATCCGGCCCATCGTTCAGAGGACGGCCGTCGAGGTAACTCCAGTGATTTAATCCTTCTTTCGTAGATACTCTGGCAATTAAATTGGCCGAGCTATAATTGACAAAATTGGCTGAGAAATAATTTGCAAAAAATTGGCTGAAAATTATTTGCAAAAATTGAAACA